TCCCTGGATACTCCCTGCTGCTGTCCCAGAGCTGTCCCTGCTGCCCCAAAGCTGTCCCTGCTGTCCCAGAGCTGTCCCTGCTGTCCCAGAGCTGTCCCTGCTGTCCCAGAGCTGTCCCTGCTGCCCCAAAGCTGTCCCCGATGCCCCAAAGCTGTCCCTGCTGTCCCAGAGCTGTCCCAGAGCTGTTCCAGGGCACTCCCTGGGCTGTCACAGAACTGTCCCTGCTGTCCCAGAGCTGTCCCAGAGCTGTTCCAGGGCGGTCCCTGGGCTGTCACAGAACTGTCCCTGCTGTCCCAGAGCTGTCCCAGGTTTCAGGATGCAGGAGCAGCCAGATGGAAGCTGCTGCTCCCAAGGTCCCAGACTGGGAAATGTATTTCCAGCAGCTGCTGCAGAGCAGCGACAGCACAAACCTCCCGTCTGCCTTCCCTGACAAACAGGGAGCCCTCTCAGGCAGAAATGGCTTTTTCATTAACCCAGCAACACCTCCATGGCCAGATGGCCACCCCTTCCCAGGCAGTGTCCCTGGGCCATCCCAAAAGCTCAGCCTCTGCTTCCAATTTGAAGCCAAACCCCAAAGCTCTGAGTGCTTGAAAGCCTCTCCAGCCTCTCACCGAGGAGCCAGGCCTAGAAAAGGCTCATAAAATCAGGAACAGTCATGCAGAGCCCAAATTCCACTGGATTTTCATGCAGAAACTACGTAAATAAATATGGTTTGAGCTCATCTTTAATCCTATTTGTACTGAGCATGTATTGGAATCATGGCCCATGGCTGCCAGCAGCATTAATCTACTGTATTTAAGTATTTTTTTCACTGCAAGAGATGAAGTTAGGCATGAAAACACACTGGAATAATTACCAGGATATTTGAAATGAGTCCTTTCTGGCTCGCTGAGGGAAACTTGGCCTGTCTTTGTGCAGCTAAAAGGACCAAACCCCACCAGACCCTGAGGTTTGCTCTGGAACTTCTCATTTCTTGCTGCTCCGTAACACTGAAAACAAGGAAGCTTATTCCACACCCAGCTTTTCCAGCCTAACAAATTCCTGGAGCTGCTACAGGAATATTAAACAGGGAAAGAAAGGGGAGGGGATGGAAATGTTCCACCCCATGGAAAAACTCCAATTATCATCATTTCCTGGGGAAGGTGGGAAGGAGCACAAAAATCCCCCTCACTGAGGGGCTTCAGGGAATGAACCCCCAGATACTCACCCGGTTCTTTTCCATCCAAAGCACCCCAGGCCTTCAACTCTGTGGTGTTTTAGCAAAACAAAAAAACAAAACAAAACCAAACCCAAAAACCCCATCCTCAAAGTCATTTCTGCTCTTTAAACCCAGAATTTGGTGTGTGGTTACAGGAGAGGCTGATGGAGGGAGAAGGCAGAAGAAAGAAGGTTTAAAAGTCAAATGGAGCCACAGAGCCAGAGTGAGGTTCCAAAACCTTGTAAACATAAATTCCTCCTCAAATGCTCAATATGTGAATAAATACCCTGAAACTGCATTAAATATGTTAAATAAATTAAATAAATTGCATTAAAATAGTGGAAAATGGTGGTGTAGATTATTGATTTATGTAAAAGAGAACATATCCCAGTCCAGAGTGGGAGCAGCAGAGCAGGGTCTGCTTTGAGTCCTGCAGGGAAAGTTTGGATGTGACAACTTTTGTTTCATGTGTCCAGACAAAACTGTGGCCTCTTCTCACTCCTCTCTGGGTAAAACAGCAAGGAAATTTGGATAAAAGGATACATTTACTTTTGGAATTAACTCCCCTCTCCATCAGGGGTCCATGGAAGAAAGACTTTTACTACTCTTTTTTCTGGTTCAGTCATGAAAACTACATTTATTTTAAAAATGTATTTACAAACTTTACAACAGTCATTACATTTAAAAACCCCATGAAAATTTGTACACCTTGCTTTACAGATTTAGTGAATCATGTGGCATTTACCCAGAGAGCTGCAGTCCCTTCCCAAAGCTCCTGCTCTCTCCAGAGCCACCTTAAAACTGTATTTTTTACCAATTAAGTTGCAAAGGACTGGAAAAAAACCACAAACACCATATTTGCAGTCTGCAAAAGTGAGTTTGCAATGAAACCACCAACCTAGGATATCCCAGAACACACAAAAACGCCTCCCACAACATCTAAATCCTCCTGAATTCACCACAAACATGGCTCAGGGTTTCGAGTGATTAAATCTGTGTAATACCACAGTGAGAAAAATTGATCAAATATACATTTGATTAAGTGAGGGGCTTCCACCTCTGCCTAAAAATTCAAATCAGCACCACGTGGACCTGAAAAACAGGTTAAGGTGTGAACCTCCTTTGAGTAACTCCTGGAGTGCCCAAACTGTGCTAAAGGTGCTTGAATTAATGTTCAGAGAGAAGAATCAGGTGAACCTCGTGCTTTTGAACAGCCATAAAATCACATTATTTGGTTATTTTTCCTCCCTGCTGTAGTCTTTGGAAAAGCTCACCCTGGTCCACCAGAGGATTTGGTCTGCAACAGTAAAAATAAGGTCAAGTTTTTAAATTAAAAATAAAAATAATTAAAAGAAGGTTACAGAAGCAGGTCAGGAATGTTTTTGCTATATTAAAAAAATAATTAAATTACAGATTTAAAGTTATTATTTCCATTTACAATGATAAAAATAAATAAGGAGAGGGAAATCTGGGGAGTTGTCACTGCAAGTCCAACTCAGTGTGAACCTGGAGCCAACACTGGGCTGGGAGGGGGGAATTTTCTGGGATGCAGTTCCCAAAAAACCTCTGCACATCCATGCTGGAGTTGTGTGCCACTGCAGATCACAGAGCTGCTCTCCCTGGAATCTGTGTCCTTTCCTAATCCAATAATCCACTGAAAGGCAAAGCTGCTGCTCCCCTCTTCCCCTGATGTGGATTAGAGCCTGTCACATTTTTAAAGGAATTTATCACAGCATGACAAATTTTAATTAAAAGCTCCAGAAAACAAGTGTTGAGCACATTTCTCCAAAGGAGAAAAACTGAAATCCTCAAAGACTTAAAATTTCACAGCAGCTTTGAACAGCTTGGCTCTGAAATATGATTAGGTTTTGTCTCTTCTGCAGAGTGGATGTTTTAACTTTGAGAGTTTATTCAAAATCATAAATCAGGTAGAAATTGCTGTAATTTGTGGTGTGCAGAGATCATCGTTATGGACTCCTATTCCCATTTTTAACCCTCCAGTTTAAAGCACATTAGAGGCATTTCCTAAAGCACTTAATTAATCTGAAGAGATGATCCTCATTTAAAAAAAAACAAGGAAGAGACACCTTAAATTGTCTCTGAAAATTAAATCTCAGAACTCAAGTCAGACAGGTTCCCAAGCAAAGAGCAACCACTTTAAAAAATCAGGGTTCTGGTGGGATTTCTCCTAAGAGTGGGCACTTAATTCCACTTATTTAAAATCAGTTGAATGCCTGGCTCTTCCTCACAGTTAAATGCCCAATTATTCCTTTAAAAATCTGACATGATCATCCTGGATGATTTTTTTTCCTTAAAATTGACCCAAAGCCCTGAATCCTTTGGGCACAGAACAGAAATTCCACCTTGTACCTCTGAGCCAGTGATGCCAGCTTTTATCAGGTAGGTACAAGAACTGGACACCAGTTTGGGGACACTGCCAAAGGGAGGAGGAGTGGACAAGTTTACAAACTCTAGAATATAAATATAAATAAAGGTGAGAAGGGGGAAAAAAAAAAAAAGTAACCAAATTTAGAGCCCTTTCTGGCAAATTTGTCAGTGAAAATGCCCAAAATGTCCTGGGAAGGGAAAACTTGAACTCTTTAGCCTCAGCTGCTGCCTCTGATTCCAAGTCAGAGGAGAAACCTGAACTTGTGAGCAGCAAACCAAGGACAACTTTAAGGTGAGAGAAGCGATTTCCAGGCAGAGCAGAGCTGAAGGTGACAACTCTTCTCACCCATGGCAGGAGAATTAACCAGAGAGGTGCCGAGGATTCTGTTTGGAGTCTGCAAAAAACGCAGCCAGAGCCAAATCCGCCGAGTAAAAGAGTAAAAAGCTGGTTAAAAATCAGCTGAAAAATTCTTCCCAGGGTCAGAGCTCCTCCTGTCAGTGTTTTGTGCATGGAGTGGTTCCCTTCTCCAGGAAAAACCTGGATGCACAAGGTACCTCCACGTGTTAAGGTTGTTAAAGCCAAAGAAAAAGGCTGGGAAAGAGGATTCCAAAGTGACTTAGAAGCAAAACACCCGAACCTGACAGCTCAGTGTGTTTGCCTACACCTGGGACCCCTCCTGTGCTCCTGATTCACGCAGGGAGTTAAACCCAACCTGCCCTGAAAGCACCGAGCAACGGCAGCAGATTCAGAGTGGGGAAAAGCACTGAATTAACAACATTCTGAATTAACAATCGGTGCTGTTGAGATGTGCTTCAGTCAGCTCAGACCACATCCTGTTGTTCTGCCCAGAGTTCTCAGCCCAGACAAGAAGTTGGATGTCAGAGGAGGCCGGGCTCGGGAGGCCGCGGTGATAGCGCCAGGGAGGGCGGGCAGAAAACACCAAGACAAGAAAACCCAGTGGCTTTCAAGTCAAGCAGTGTCTGTGCCCAAGAACACAACGAGGAGCTGACATGTCCTGCAAAGCCCCAGAGAGGGGGAAAACCTGGCCAGGGTGTCCAGGAAGATTCCCAAGATTTCCCCTGAGAAGCAGCAGGCCGGAGACAGCTGGAAGTGCAGGCAGCAGCGAGGCTGGGGATGGATGGGATGTGACTGCAGTGCCACCTCCAGAGGAGCTCCAAGCCGGAGGTTTGGGAATCTGGGATGATTCTGGGATGAGGACAATCTGCTCACAGAGCTGGGCAGCAGCACAGCAGCTCCTGCAGTCACACTGACGTCAAAAGAATTGGGAAGAACGAAAGGAAATGACAACTTCGGTCTGAACAAAACCCTCCTGGGGGTGGTTTTTGTCGGGTTGGGTTTTGTTTGGTTTGGTTTTCCTTTGCTGAGGGAACTTTTCATTTGGTTTAACAAACTTTGGTTTTTCAGTAAGGTCGGAAACCCATTTCAGTCAGGGGAGAACAATAATGGCCTGGGAACCCCCCGCCCAACAATAATTGCCATTCCTGCTGTGAGCAACACCCTCAGCAGGGTTTTAGTGGCTCTTCCCAACTCCTACAAGATAAACAGAAACAAAATGACAGAATTAACAAACAAAATTATTTCCTGCAAGACAAAACAAAATCTTCATCAAGATTGATGATAAATAATAAACAGGCCACAAGCTGTTTATGGGTCTCATACCAGTCCAGCCCTGGCAAAAGTGCAACTTCTGTCACCTCAAACATTCCCAGGAGTGATTTCTTCCACGTTAAAAAGCACAAAATGAGATCAAGCCAAGCACAAGCTGAGCAGAGACCCTGACCTAGTCAGGAAACTCCCAGGAAACCACCAGAGATCTCCCCCAGGATTCCCAGTTACACTGGGAAGGAGCTGCTGGGATTGCAGAAACTCGGGACAGACAAGACCAGGAGAGAGAATTCCAGCAGGAAGACATCTGGATTAGTGTGTCAGCACTGCACAGGCAAACAGAGGGGAGGGAATCCAGTGCCAACACGTCCTTGGTGGCATTTCCCAGGAAAACTCCAGGTGGAATGGCAGGGGAGATCAGCAGGCTGGCTGGAAATGAAGCAACTGCTGCATGCTGGGCGTTGCTGTGACCCCAAATCCTCACTGCAGGCCCTGCTCCGAGGACACCACGCTGGATTTCCTGGTTTTTGGGGGTGGAGGGGGAGGTTTGGCCTCACGTCTGCTGGGCAGCGGTGGAGCAACCTGAGGAGGTGGAAACACAAAGAAATAAAGCACTACTGGCAAGTGGAAGCAGTTCTGCTTCCCCAAATGAGAAACCCAAAAGGTCCCAATGGTTCTTTTGGGAGCAAACCCTGGAGCTTGGCCTCAGCTCCACGTGGCAGGGCCAAGCAAGGACAGATCCTCAGCAGGAAACAGAAGCTGAAATGTTTTAGCTGCTCAAGTATGCCTGGGACAGATTTTAATTGCTCCCAAGCTGCAGCCCAACTTCAGCTTTTATCTCTCCTTTTGGTGATCAGTGAAATGGGCAGCAAAGCCATTTTCTTCCAGGGTTCAAAATTCAGTTTTTGTCCTGCTGCTGGCTGGATGGGCTGCACCAAAAGGATGCAAAATGTTCAAATCAGAATGGCAAAGCACCCTTAAATGGGAGCAAGGGCAGCTCTGATTAAACAAGCCACATCCGGCCTGCCTGCCAAGGGCTTGGAGTGTGTTTCTTGTTCTTGCAGAAAGCTGCACTAAAGAGGGGCTTTTTCAAATTGTCTCTGCCTGTTTGAAGGGGCATCCTATAAATAAATGAGATGGGAAAGGCCAGGAGAGTGAGGAGCTTGTGTGGTTCATCACTCCTCAGCCAAAACTCAAGTCTCAGAGTCCCCTTCTCAGGCAAAACTCAACATTTCAGCACAGTTTTAACCAAAGGAAGACAGACCCAACTTTACAAGAGCAAAGCAACAAAACCCTTCAGAAAAATCCTTCCCAATCTCCCTCTACAACCCTGTGAATCCTTTCCCTCTGGCTGCCAGCCAAGGGGGATGCTGCAGGCCAGGACATGGCAGTAATTAGCTTCCTTACAAGGCTCAAGGGAATGCGGCTCTCTGATTCATCCTCTTGATCCAGTGACTCCCAGAGCATCCCTGGAGCTGGGATGTCCCTGCTGGGCACAGAACCACAGCACTCACAGGCACTTCCAGCCAAATGAAGGGCAAAGAAGAAAAACTTCCTCCCCCTCCTGTGTTTCAAGGCTTTATTCCAGTGTCACAACACAGAATTAAGTGCTGAGCTGTTTTCTTGTCTGCCCCTGCTGCTGAAATTGTTAAGTGTGATCCCTTCTTTATGGCCAAATCCCAGTTTATCTCAGACACTCCCAAATCCTCTCTGTAAACTGGACTGGGAGAGACATCCCTCCCTTTCAATGGCAAAAGGTAATTCCTGATGGGTTTTGGGAAGGCACCATCCCTCTGACAGTCACAGAAGGATCCTTTCTTTGCTCCCCCCAGTATGGAATTATGGAATTAGTCTGGCATCACCAGCATCTTCGTGTCAGGTGAAACGATTCTGACTCAGTGTTTGCATGTCAGGGATTCCAGACAGCCTGGAGACACCAAGGTGTAACAGAAACATCAGTGATGCAGCACTGAAAAAGGGGAAATTTGGTGTTCCTACAGGCAAATCACTCTGGAATTGAGGCAAAGGGCAGGATTTAAATACAGGCTTTTGAAAATCGCTAATGGCATGAAAAATCAGATTCTGCCCAGCTGAGCTTAGGAGACATTGGAGACCTCTGAAAATGGTGATTTTTTTTCCCCCCCACTTCTTTTTCAGCCCAAATCATTGCACTATTTTAGGCTGATTGTGTTTGTGAAACTTTTGCTGTTGGTGTGTTTTCTGTATCTCTTCCCACCCCAACCCCCCACCTTTTTCCTGACCAAGGACAACATAATTCCCACTTGGAAAAATCAAATAATAAAGGCACTGCACTGCCTTCTCCTGAAGCAAAAAAAAAAGCCCCTTTTTTGCCTTCTTTCGTGGTTTCAGGGAGCAAAGCAGTGAAATGATGAGACAGGTTTCAAGCAGCACCACTCTAAGAGCAGCTTGAAAAATTCCACTGGTGCCTCCTGCTCCAAAGCTGCTCTCCAAAAACCTGTTGGAGTCTGAGACAGAAGTGTCTGCCCTTGTTTCTGATGCTTAGCTCTGAGATCCAGAAAAACACTGAATTTCATATAACATGAAATTTATAAGCACGTTTTCATGGTGATACATGAAAACAGCTGTTGAAGTTAGATAGAAAAAGCTAAAAATGTAAGTGTATAGATTAGAGAGTTTCTTAAGTCACTGGGTGAAAAAGTTAGAGTTTAAAACAATTTAGAAATCAGAGGGCAAGATGGAGGATTTAGACTGTTTTCCTTTTCCTTCTTCTAGAGGTTTTTGGGTAATAGTAGGTGATTGGATAGAAAATGCCACGATGCAGCACACAGGTCATTGGGTCATTAAGAAAAATAATATATGTGTCTATAGTTAATTGGATAAGAATAAAGAAAAAAGAACTGTGTAGTTCAGGGCCATTTTGCATCTTCAAAGGCCAAAGTGAGCCACAAGGCCATTCTGTACCATCAGAAAGAAATGTGCCAGGTTGCAGTGAATTGAACTTGTGCAGAAAGTCTGGAGAGACCTGCCAAGTTTTGTGATAACATCCTAATAAACACAAGAAACAAAATCCTGACAGGCTTTGAAGTTTTTGTCCTGACCCAGAGAACTGTGATAAGCGGGACTCCCCATAAGGGAGTAACCCCAAGGAGCTCAGCTCAGAGAAGCTGACAAATCCAGGAGTGAAAAATACAAAAAAAGTGCAGCAGAATCGAGAAAGAAAAAAGAAACAAAAAAGAACTTTTAAAAAGTTACACCATCAGCTCCCATTTCCTCACCTCCACCGAGTTCCTGGGGGTGCTGCTCTCGTAGGGTTTGCTTTTGGGTGGAGGGGGGGGTGGCGTGGCCAACCCATCAGCCTGCAAGGAGGGGAAGCCTGGTGGGACTGCACACAGCTCTTAAGGGAGGTTCATTAAATATCCTGTTCTTTCCAGCTGGGAGCAGGTCCCTGCCCAGATGTGCTGGGTCCCAGCTGAACCCCACCAAGTTCCCAGTGCCCTGAGGAGTTTCCCCTTCCCCAAATGGCTCTGAGCTGCCCCCGAGAGCAGAAACTGTGCCCATCAGCACACCTGGTGTGTTCTGGGGCTCCCCTCAGACCTCACTCTGATTTTAACCCCAGCTATGGAGGAGATAAAACCCAAACTGCAGAAGGATTCCAGCAATCAAACCCCTTGCTAAGGAGAAGAGAGGTTTCACTTTCCTTTTGCAGATCTTTCTTCACAGAGCTCCTAAATTTGTTTCTGGTTGTCTCCCCAGCTCATCCCCTGCCCTGGTATTTTTTTGGTTTTATCCTCTCACAACAATTTTTATGCTGGTTTAGATCATTCTCTGCACTGGACTCTGACTTAATACCCACAGAAAGACAGCCAGATCCTACCCAGGAACTTCTGTTCCTTTCAGAAAAGAGCAGCAGGCTGAGAAATGCAGCAGTCAGGGAGTTCTAGGGGTGGAACTGCCCAGGGAATCTTATTTTTACCTTAAAGCACACTTAAACATTGCTGCAGAATCAACTACAGAACTTCCTGAAGGAAAAAAGACCCTTCCCCCCCACCCCCTTCTTTTCCAGGATCAGATTATTGTGCTGTTTTACATTCAGCCTGTTTTTGTAACCTCTGAAATGATTCATTTTGTTAATTCTTGAATTTCAAATCTTGAATTCCATCTCCTTCAGGTGGAACATTTACAGCTGAGTGTCCCAGTAAGCTCTCCTAGAACTCTCTGCCATGTGATGGGAGTTGTTGCTCATTAGTTAACAGAACCCCCAGGACTTGCATTGATAATTTAGGCACAGAATTGATCCCCAACACCACGGGATGGGTGCAGCTCCCTCCTGGGGACCTGCTGGGGAATGCTTCTCCAGACCTGACTCGATGACTTTACAGCCATCCACACTGCCTGCACGTGCTGTTCTCCTCAGAGTTCATCAAACCTTCCCAAAATTCAGAGAATCTCAGCATGGGTGGGGTTGGAAGGACCTTAAATCCTAGCCAGTGCCATCCCTGCCATGGCAGGGACACCTCCCACTGTCCCAGGCTGCTCCAGCCTGGCCTTGGACACTTCCAGGGATCCAGGGGCAGCCACAGCTGCTCTGGGAATTCCATCCCAGCCCCTCCCCAGCCTCACAGGGAGGAATTTCTCCCCAAAATCCCATCTAACCCTCCCCTCTGGTAGTTTAGAAGTATTCCCCTATGTCCCATCACCCTGTGCAAAGTCCCTCCCCATCCTTCTTGTCCAGGCCAACACAGGAGAAAACAAGAAAGGAACTGAAAAACCCAGAAACCGTTCCCTGGAACTCCTCTGATGCACAGCTTCAACAAGTGATGTGCAAGGCACTCCCATCACATGGCAGAGATCTGATCTTTGATACCACAGGAAAATTCTGTCATCTGACAAAAATGACAGCCCCTGCTTTCCTGGGAAACAGAGGCAGGGGGCACCTGGAATGTGCTGGGGCTCCAGAGGCAGCAGCTGGGGCTCAGCTCCCACTGTGCCCCAAACCCCGTCTGTAAAATGGAATAACAACATCGACCCCCAGAAACATTTTTAAATGCATTCCCATGGGATAAACCTTGATTTTCAAGATTTCCAACAGCCTTGAGGCACTGTGACGTGGCTTAGAGCAGATCCTCCCT